AAAGGGGAAAATGATTTCATTCATGAAGAATGCAGTTCCACATAGTAGTTTTTCTAGTGCACATTTTTATGAATAAAAGTCCCTTTCTCAGAGACTTTGTAAAAGGCATACACAAAAGAAGCTCCAGTGTCAAATATTTTAGCCATTAAAGCATAAGTCAGCTGCAGTTTTTCAGTGAGATAGTGTCTCAGAGAAGAAAAGAGACCTTTGAAATGGTGTTTATTTCAGTGGACATGTTCTTTCACAGTCTACTGAGACTCAGGGCTGATTTCTGTTTTCACGTTTCTAAACAGAACGCCACTAAGAGTCAGCACAAATATAAAATACTTTCGTTTTTTGCTTTTTATCAAATCTTCTTTCTTTGTTATTGTTGGTATGAATAGTCACGTGTGGCCAATTGAATTGACTGAGTTACATGGTAGAATGAAAATGATTAGAAAATCTTGTATTCATTTCTAGAATCTAAAGGTAATTCATAAAGATCTACTCTCAATTTGTTCTATAAAGTAGAAATAGATGTTGAATAATTTACAGACAGTAATAGAAATTAGCCTTAGTAAAAAGAAAATACAAATGTGTATGTACATATATATATGTATACATGCACCAGCACAAGTATGATACTATATATATCTATATATATATAGATATATATATATAGATATATATATATATAGATATATAATCTGTATTAGAGATAATGTGAGGAGATGCTACCAAAGAAATTAAGTTATGTAAGCATTTTATAACTTCTGCTGATGATTTTGAAACTGTAATGAACTCTGAATGTTACAGATATATATATATACATTATTAAAATGGACTAAGGTAGAAAAATAAAAGTTGAATGGGCCTTAGCCATGAGTAAAATGAGAAAGCTGTTTGAATGTTTGTTTTGGATTTTTTGTTTTGTTTTTTGGGGGTTCTGGAGGGTGGGTTGAGACAGGATTTCTCTGTGTGGCCCCGGCTGTCCTGGAACTCGATCTGTAGACCAGGCTGGCCTCAAACTCACAGAGATCAACCTGCTTCTGCCTCCCAAGTGCTAGGATTAAAGGCATGTATGACCACCACCCAGCAAGAGAGCTGTTTTTAAAATTGATAAGTTCTCTATACGACTGAGTAGACATGGTCTTAAGGACCATTGTTTCCAAAACCCTATGAGAATTATTTCTAGCCAGGCAGTGGTGGCACATGCCTTTAATCCCAGCACTTGGGAGGCAGAAGCAGGTGACTCTCTTGTGAGTTCCAGGCCAGCTTAGTCTATAGAGCGAGTTCCAGAGAAACCTTGTCTCGAAAAGCCAAAATAAAAAATTTAAAAAAAAAAAAATTATTTCTATTTTATTTAGATATATTGAAATAAATAGAAAACATGGGCAGTTTTATAGATTGATGGAATTAACAAAATACTATACAACCTAGTAAAGATATCACAGAAGCAAAAAAGAAACTATAGTAGTTAGACTTTGGGCTTTTCTGTTTTGTTTTGTTTTTGTTTGTTTATTTGTTTGGTTTGGTTTGGTTTTTTGAGACAGGGTTTCTCTGTGCAAAAGTCCTGGCTGTCCTAGAACTAGAAGTATTATTCATATCTTTTTTAAAACTTTGGACTATTTGCATATATCCATAGTAAGCATCCTAGAGATAGGGCCCAAGTCTAAATATAAACATTTATGTTTCATATATGCATTATACATATATCCTAATGGTAATTATATGTAGTATTTTTAGCATACCTGATTTTGACTGTCACTTACCACCTGAGGCCATGTGTGGACTTTGTTACTATGTATATCATATCATATATCATATCATATCATGTCTATACCTCAAGTCAATACTCAAAGTTCCATATTTTGGAGGACTTTGGACTTTATTACTTAGATATGAGAATTGTATCTCTCTAGTTTTCAAAGCCTGTATAAATCACCCATTGATGGTGAGTATGAGAACTGGGAAATCTCTATTGGTTCAGCTCTGAAAGTCTGATATACCAGTTATAGGAGCAGATCCTTACCTGTGTAGTCCAAGTTTAGCCCAGAACTTGGGTCTCAAGCTTTTGTGCTCCTGAATAGCTATTTGCTTCTTGGATCTCTTCTGTCGCATCCTCATTCTCTGGTTCTTTTCTTTGAATAAACGGAGAGGATACTCTGATGAAGATGTTTTCAGTCATGCTGCTTCTGCTGCTTCCCTTGGCTCTCTCTGAGTTTAGGAGTTTCCATTTCTGGTCCTCACGTTAGAACTAGAGTACTTTGTTTTTTTTTAACCAGAGTTTCTTCATGCCCCATCTCACTGCTTTGGCTGTATTTTTTTAAGCTGGAGGTTCCAAAGAAGGAAGTGGGAAAAGTAAACTTAAACTTAAAAATTAGTGATGCCTCAAGTTAAGTATTCTGATTCTTCTATTTTCTTTTCAGACCCTCAATAGCTGCTCCAATGCACTCACTCTATCCAGATTTTATGGTTTCATTTAGTGGGAGGCTTAGGGTCTGTGTACTAAGTGTTCTCCATCTTACCTGGAACCAGATTCTGAATTGCCTTTAAGAAAGCACATGTACCCAGCACTCGGGAGGCAGAGGCAGGCAGATCTCTGTGAGTTCAAGGCTAGCCTGGGCTACAGAGTGAGTTCCAGGAAAGGCGCAAAGCTACACAGAGAAACTCTGTCTTGAAAAACCAAAAAAGAAGAAGAAGAAGAAGAAAAAGAAGAAGAAGAAGAAGAAGAAGAAGAAGAAGAAGAAGAAGAAGAAGAAGAAGAAGAAGAAGAAGAAGAAGAGAGAGAGAGAGAGAGAGAGAGAGAGAGAAAGCACATGTGGAGCCAGGAAATGGTGGTGATTGTTTCTGCTCTTTTGGGGGCCCCACCACCCACCTCCCAAATAATTCACACGTGGAACTTATTATTACTTATAAATGCCTGGCCTTGGCTTGGCTTGTTGCTAGCCAGCTTTTCTTAACTTTATTTATTTATTCATTTGTTTATTTATTTATTTGTTTTGGTTTTTGAGACAGGGTTTCTCTGTGTAGCTTTGGTGCCTGTCTGAATCTCGCTCTGTAGACCAGGCTGGCCTCGAACTCACAGAGATCCGCCTGCCTCTGCCTCCCGAGTGCTGGGATTAAAGGCGTGCGCCACCACCGCCGGCATGTCTTGCTTTTCTTAACTTTAAATTATCCCATCTGTCTTTTGCCTCATGCCTTTTACTTTTTTCTGTTTCTGTAGTCTTTCTTTCTTACTCCGTTGCTGGTTGTGTAGCTGGGTGGCTAGCCCCTTGCGTCAGTCCTCCTCCTCCTGTCTCTCCTCCATCTCTCTTTTTTTCCCCAGAGTTCTCCTTCTATTTATTTTCTCTGCCTGCCAGCCCTGCCTATCCTTTCTCCTGCCTCACTATTGGCTGTTCAGCTCTTTATTAGACCATCGGGTGTTTAGTAACACAGCTTCACAGAGTTAAACAAATGCGACATAAACAAAAGTAACACACTTTAAAATAATATTCTACAACATTGGTAGCCAGACACTTTTCTCTGTCCCGCCCCGGTCCCGCAGTCCCACAGCCACTTTTAAAATAATCATTCAGAGGCTTAATATTAATTACAAACTGTTTGGTCTATTGCTCAGACTTATAGCTAGCTAACTCTCCATTTTAAATTAACCCATTTTTATTAATCTGTGTATTGCCACATGACTGTGGTATTACTCTGCTGGCCTGTTGCTCCTTAGGTAGCGGGCTGGCATCTGCTCTGACTCTGCCTTTCTTCTGTCTGTATCTTTGCTTGGATTTCCTGCTGCTATAACCTGTCTTGCCATAGGCCAAAACAGCTTCTTTAATTAACCAATAATAGCAAAACATATTCACAGCATACAGAAAGACCATCCCCCAGCACACCTTTAATCCCAGCACTAGAGATGCAGAGGCAGGCACTTTCAGGCCAGCCTGGTCTACAAAACAAGTTCCAGGACATCCAGGGCTACATAGAGAAACTCTGTCTTGAAAAAACAAAAACAAAAGAAAGAAAAGAGAAAGCACTTATAGGTCATGTATGATGATGCACACCTGTAGTCCCAGCCACTCCAGAGGCTGAGATAGGAAGATCATGGGTTCAAAGCCAGCGTGAGATGCATAACAAGACTCTTAAGATCTTGTCTATTAGGGAAGGAGGGAGGGAACCCTTAGAATATGGTATTAGGAGCATAATGCCACCATCCCTTTTGCTTTAACCTGAGACTAGTCCTATAATAAGGCTTAGTTTAAATCATAATCACCTTGTAAATAAATTCATTCTTACATTCCTACTGTCTCTAGGGTCAAGTGCAGACTCATTTCAGTACTCAAGATCTCCATGCTCTTATAGCTCATATTCTAGGTGACAGGAATACTCACTGATGTTTAGTTATTCTATTACACATAATTGGTTGTGTACTTCTCTCAGCTCATTATAATTTCTGAACCTTATAATTCCTTTCTTCTCAAACTTTACACATCTGTGTGTGCATGCATGTGTGTGTGCGCACAAGCACATGTATGCCATGATGCATGTGTAGAGGTCAGAAGACAGTTTGTGAGAATTGATTCTCTCCTTCCTCCATGTGGGTTCTAGGGATTGAACCCAGGTTGTCAAGTTTATTAGCAAACACCTTATCAGCTGAGCCATCTTGCTGGTCATGTTTGTGCTTTTTCATGCTAGGTGTACATATTTTGTCTTAGGCTTGGTTTGATATGTTTTATCTGAGTTAGAGGAATTGTATCTCACTTAGGCTATTATGCACTTGATCCCATAGATTCGGGTAACATTTAGTGACTATCATATACTTTTTCATTTGTTCCCTTAATAATTCTGATATATTCTAAATTTCATTCCTATGGAAACACTGATGAATAAAATAAGATTATTTTCACTTTTCTACAATAGCCATGATTTTCTTGATGCAGGAGTTTAATTTTCTATCATCTGCTATCTACTAGATAAATAGCGTCTCAATAAACATCAATAGAACTAACTCCTTTCCCTTCTCTCTACAGTACCTTGGCCACGTAGAAGTTGATGAGTCAAGAGGAATGCACATCTGTGAAGATGCTGTAAAAAGATTGAAAGCAGTATGTATTTGGTGATTGCTAATATTGATCTATATGCTGCCAATATTTTCTTACAAGATTGTGCTCCCTTTTTGCTCCTACATTATCCAAATTATGCTTTTCACTTATTATGGCCTATATGAAACAGCATGAAATCTGATAGAAAATCGTATTCTAAAACCAGCACAGAAATGTTAGAGTTAACAACTTAATTGTGATACCTGGACAATCACACTGTTAATTTTAAATCTGTAAGAAAGAGCTTTCCGGGAACAAAAGTAGAAAATGCCTGAGTGATGCCTGATGAGAGGGACTTCTCATTATCTTGACTCCTACATCTTTCTTCCTATGTCCCTCCGACACAACCAACCTACTTTCCCTTCCTTTTGCATAAACTTGAAATGTGTAAGTCCTTTTCAAGATAAATGTTTTCTTTGCCTGTTACACCATAGACTACATCCTACATTCATATGTATTTAATGAGGGAGAGAAAATATCTACAGTTGATAAAGGATCACATTGAAGTATTAATTTCCTGTTTCCAGTACGTCTGAGGACCGTCCCCTAACTCTCCAAGCCCCTTCACGCCTGCCTTCTCCCCAGCACGTAGCCGTTCCCACTCTGCTGTGAGAGCTTTAAGCATTACTTCCGCATGTGCTATCCCCAAACAGCATTACATTGATGTTACTTTGGGTTTGCTAGTATAAGTTTGGCTACTAATGAGTGCTTTTTATTTCTCAATTTGCTTAATAACCAAAACTTTTCTGTTTTATTGATAAAGTTTATGTTACTGCTTATGTATTCCCTCAGTATAAAATATGTAAAATTTAAAAATATATCAAAGAGGTAGATTGTACTTTGGAATAAATGCCTGAATCTGTTGTAGAAAGAAAAGCAGAGAAATAACTAAATGTAGAAAGCAGAACATAAACAACCCTGTGTACAAATGAGCACACATATATTCATCTATATGTATAGAACCCTTTATCTCGGGTTTTGGGCATTTAAATTCTTAAATGATAGAAGCCTAGCAAGTTTCCTTGACTTCATCAATGTTAAGAGGACTTGTGTCTGTCTGTGTTCTGTGGTCCATGAAACTAGTTTGACAGACTAGCTCTTATATAACTATTCCTTAGTTAAATACAGACTCGGATAATTTAGCTTTCCATTTTTATCAAAATTAGTTTAAAAGAGAAATAAAAGTTTTAGGTTTTTTTTCTCATAAAGTAATTCTCCATTCCTCTAGAATGATAAACTAGATGAGTTTAGCTTAGGATGTTTTAAAAATAATTATTTAAACTTCTTAAAGAATGTTTTTGTTTGTTTCTTTCCTCTTTCTTTTTTGAGATAGTTTCTTTGTATAGCTCAGTATTCCAAGCTAGCCTGATCCTGGCTTGCCTCCCTAGTGCTAAAACTATAGGCATGAGCCCCTATTCCCAGCCTAAAGAATATTTTATATCAGTGTATTACTAATCATAGGAAAAAACAGAAAACTCCCAGGAAACAGGGAGGGGAGGAGACAGAGATGGTTCAGCAGTTAAAGGGGCTTGCTGCTCTTGTAGAGGACTCAAATTCAGTTCCCAGCACTCTCTTGAGGTAGCTTTCAGCTGCCTCTAACTCCAGCTCTGTGGGATCTAATGCCCTCTTCTGGCAGAGGCCATCACTCCATAACATGTGCACAAACCCACACTCATATAAACACACATAATTAAAAATAAAAATAAATCTTAATTTAGAATCCTAGGAAGCAAATAGTTTATTCTGAAACAAACTATAGTTATTAAAGTCTTCAAATTTACATTACTTAGGGTTCTGAGGCCACTGTGGAATTAGCCTTTAGAAAATCTTTTAATTCAAGACTGGAGAGATGGCTTAGCGGTGAAGAGCACTGGCTGCTATCCCAGAGACTCAGGTTCAATTCCCAGTACTCACATGGCAGCTCACAACTGTCTGTAACTCCAGTTCCAGGGCGTCTGGCACCCTCATACAGACATATATGCAAGCACAGCACCAGTGCATAAAAAAATAAATAAATATTTAAAAAGAAAATCTTTTCATTTGGGAACAATCGGTCCTCTTCTTTTTCCATGCTGAATATCAAACCCAGGGCCTCACAGGAGCCAAGCACTCTCTCTGTCAAGCCACACATCTAGCACTACTATCTAGTTTTGTTTTTAAACTTTGGTGTCTGTCTTATTTAGGTTTTTGAGACAGTCTCAACTTCCAGCACATTATCCTCCTGGGTGCATCACTTCATTTGAATCTTAACTTAAAAAAAAATTAGAAACAGCTCTTTACTGTGTAGGAAATTTATTGTATAAAGTACAAATGAACCTCAAGATTTATAAATAGGGGCTAGAAAAATGGCTCAATGGTTAAGAGTACTGTCTGCTCTTCCGGAGGACCCAGGTTCAATGTCCAGTACCCATATGGTAGTTCATAACTATCTGTAACTCCAGTTCCTGGGGAATCTGAGCCGCCTTCTGGCCTCCAAGAGTCCCAGGCATATGTGTGGTACATAGACATATATGCAGACAGAATACCCATGCACATAAAATTAATTTTTAAAAAAATATTTATTAGCCGGGCGGTGGTGGCGCACGCCTTTAATCCCAGCACTCGGGAGGCAGAGCCAGGAGGATCTCTGTGAGTTCGAGGCCAGCCTGGACTACCAAGTGAGTTCCAGGAAAGGCGCAAAGCTACAGAGAAACCCTGTCTCGAAAAACCAAAAACAAAAACAAAAATAAAAATTATTAAATAAAACAAAATCTCTTCCAATTCCAGGTGTTTAAATGTCTAGTTTTTATTGCTGCTGCTGCTGCTGCTGCTGCCGCCGCCGTTGGGGTTTTTGTCTTTTTTGTGACAGGATCTCCAAGTCTTACTGGCCTCCACTTCCCACACACTGGAAGGACAGATACACGCCGCTCCACTCTGCTCATCACCTAGTTTAAAGCCAGTTTTTTTGTTGAGTAGATTGTTTCTTTAATTTCACCTTTTACTTTTAAGAAAAGATTATTGTTTAAGGCCGAGGACTGTTTGAATAACATTTAGTGTATTTTTATATTCACCATAAATATAACCTAAATTTGCATTTTAAAAATTGTAGTTATTCAGGGCCAGATAGTTGGCTACAACTCACAAGGCTATAATCCCTTAGCTGGGAGCCTGAAGACAAAGACCTCTGAGGCTCACTCACCCAACCAGTCTAGGTGAATTAGTACACTCTGGGTTCAGAGAGACCCTGCCTCAAAAAAATAATACGGAACAATTGAGGAATACCCCTGCATCATCCTCTGGCATATCCAGGAAACTTAGGACAGTTGTATAGACCTAAATTGGCAAACATGTTTAAAAATCAAATTGGATTTTTGGGTAATAGGTAAACTTATGTTTATTATGCTCAATAAAACATCACTGTTCTGTAGATAAGCTGCCTAGTGGTATACTGAGACCTTGCAGTAACTAGGAAGTCTTCAGGATATTGTCTCATGAATCCACATAGCTCTGTGATATGTTTTTGTCATCTTCTCATATTTTCACTAATTAGAGATATTAGGTTCCCTTGTTTCTTTGACAGCATTCTTTTAACAGATGCCCATCTAGGATCTACATCCTGTTGTGCCCGATTCTTTGGTTTTTTTTAATAGTTTTTTTATTAAGATATTTTCTATTCATTTTACATACCAACCACAGATTCCCCTGTTCTCCTTCCTCCACCCCCCAGCATTCCCCCCAACCCACCCCCCTTTCCCGCCTCCTCCAAGACAAGGTCTCCCATGGGGAGTCAGCAGAGCCTGGTACAGTCAGTTGAGGCAGGTCCAAGCCCCTCCTCCCTGCACTAAGGCTGTGCAAAGTGTCTCACAATAGCACTAGGTTCCAAAGAGCCGGCTCATGCACTCGGGACAGGTCCCAATCCCACTGCCTGGGGGACCCCTAAACAGTTCAAGCTAATCAACTGTCAAATGCTATATCACTAGTGTTTGTTATTGTAAAGATCATAAAGTTTCCCGAAAGAGTTTTAAATAAATGGAAACAAGTTGTAGGAATGTATAAAGCTACAGAGGATTGAAGAAACAAAATACCTTTGGAATCTGTTTGACTATCAGAGCTTTAAAATTTGAAGAATTATTTAACTCAGGTGCCAGTTAAGCAGCAAAACAGACATATTAAGCTTGTCATGTGAATGGCCTGTAAACCAAAAAATTCTGTTTCTACTGGTTTTAACTTTGTGGGGAATTGAAAATCATTTACAAGTATAGTCACATGGAGACCCTCCCAGAAATGGTCCCTTGTAATTTAGAATTACTTTAACTTGTATTAGAGATCATCGGCAAAGTTGACATTCTCCAGTGAAGAAAATAGAGTTGGGATAGTTTTTTAAATGTGTACCTCAGACCATTTCTTACCTTCATATACATAAAGTAACAAGTATTTTTAACTTAATTATTTTGTGACATAACTCAAGCTACTACAAATCTTAGATTGCATAGAATAAATTTCAGAAATGACTGTTGCTTAGTTGTGTTACCTGTATGTTACAGGGTGATAAATATCACTTAGCAGTGAGCTCTATAATTATTGTATCAGGCTTTGCCTTGCTTCACTGTGATCCAAAACACCTTTCATTGTAGAAGGCTATTTCATTCCATTGTCTTCTGAATGTCTCTCTTTTCTCTGCCTTGGTTTTAGATTTGTTTCATTATATAACTAGTTCCTAGTATGTTGGGTTTTTATTCACTATTTGATATATTTGTTTTAATATATGTTCTTATTTTAGCAGGTAAAAGAATCATAACATGTTTTTTAAAAGAACATTAATATTTTCTAATCCATTATCTGTCTTTTATGCATTTTGCATGTCACCTTTTTTCATTAACATCTGGGGTCTTTTATAAAAAAAGGAAAAAAAATCCCATCTTTAACAAGAGCTTTTCTAGGAGCTGAATTAAATATTAACTGTCACTCCCACCCCACCCTGCGAGAATGGTGAATCTTTAACATTGGCTGCATCCTTGAAAGCTGAGCATTACTCATAGTCTAACAAAACTAGGGCCACCAAACTTGGCAGCAGAAATCATCTTAGTCTTGCTGTGACAGCTACCTGGATAACATGATTATTTTTCCAGCTTCAGTTCAGAGTATCTTGCGGAAATATTTGATGCCATTTGTGACTTTCAAAACTTAAGGGAAAACATTGTAGTGTTTAAAGATTTATTTATTTATTTATTATGTATACAGAAGAGGGCGCCAGATCTCATTACAGATGGTTGTGAGCCACCATGTGGGTGCTGGGAATTGAACTCAGGACCTGGAAGAGCAGTCGGTGCTCTTAACCTTGAGCCATCTCTCCAGCCCCATTGTAGTGTTTAAAAGCACTAAATGAGTTCAAAAACTGGGAGACCCAAATTTCAGCATAGTTGTCTCTTACTAGACATTTTTGCAGCTACAAAAGTTGGTTATAAAAAGTAAAGAATTAAAAGTATAGTTCAGCCCTAGGAAGGGAATATAAAGCTGGGTTGGGGAGGCGGGTAGAACCTATCTACTTTGCATACATTCTTTAAATTTCCTTAATAATCAGTTTGTATAAATGGTGCTTAAAAACTGATGGTAGGGCTAGTTGTGGTGGTGAACCTCTTTACTGCCAGCACTCAGAAGGCAGAGGCAGATCTATCTCTGAGTTTCAGGCCAGTGAGTTCCAGGCTACATAGTTAAGACTCTGTTTCAACAAAACAAAAGAAATGATGGTAGGACCATAGATTGTTATGGCTCCCATATCCTGATGGTTGATAATTGTTTATATCCATGCAAGAGTCTTTGTTTTAAAAGAACAGTTAAAAAGAAAACAAAACCCTGTTTCCTAAATTCCATTTGTAGCCCATGAACATAATTTCGTTCTCCCATATTTTTCTATGCCCCAGTGTAAACATTAGCCTTAGATCCTTTACAATGATTTATTCTGACTTGGAATAGATCCTCCTAGTTCTGTGTGTTGTAGAATTGCTGAGCACACACTTACACTAATGAATGTGGACCACCTGTGACTAAGGTCCCTGAATTAGAAAAGGTGTGGCAAGAACTGTTGAGGTATGCTCATGATTTAGCATACGGGTTGCCATTTTTGTGTTTTCTTAAGTTTTGCAATTCCAGGGCATCAAACTCAGAACCTAACAGCATACCAACAAGGTGGTGGTTTGCTTTTGGTCTGGGATCTCACTATGAAGGCCTTCACAGGTTCCTGTTTTCTTTTTATTTCTTTAAGAGGCAGGCTTTTACTATGCTGTCAAGGCTCTCCAAGAATTCCCAGGGTTAGGCAGCCTTGCCTCAGCCTCCGAAAGAGCTAAGATGATGGGCACATGCCACCACATTTGACTACCATTGATTTTAAGTAGAAAAATGTATGTAGAACTAAGCTTCTATTTGTTACTATTGTGAATTTTAAATACAAAGTCGTGCCCAACTTGTATGTCCTAATCTTTTTCTCTGCTGCCAAATTTGGATAATCTCTGTTGGAAAAAGAGATTCCTAATTAAGTATTTGCACTGCATGAATACAGCTCTGAATTCCTCTCTTTCTGGGGATCCTCAGGTCATACAGTGTGTTGCCCTGTGTTTTCATGCACCTTTCCTTTTCCCTGTCACTCCTGGTATGGATAACTCTTTAAAACTCTCATCCCTCCCCTTCTCCCACTTTCCTTCTCTTCTATTTCTGTATGTGCTTAATTGATGTGAAACCCTGGGACATTTAGCCTATACAATAATAGCACTCGACTTGTCCCCCTGTTCCTCCAGGAAAGGAAGTTCTTCAAAGGCTTCTTTGGAAAAGTAAGTTTAATGCCATGATTGTGCTTATTCTATAAGGAGTTACACCCCAATATAGCACTGACATGCTAACAGAATAAGAATAAAGCCTTGATTTCTACACAAACAGAAATAGATTTGACTGTATCTGAAAATTAGTGAAGTAGTTGCTGTCTATGGTTTTACCTGTTTTTCTTTTGATACTTAATCTCATTTCTAGGAAAGCCCAATAAATGAATCAAGTAAGTTTTTTTAATGATCTCTTCAGCACCTGCTAGTAGATAAACTCTATTTGATCTTTCAAAACTGTTTTGTTGCCGGGCGGTGGTGGCGCACGCCAGCACTCGGGAGGCAGAGCCAGGCGGATCTCTGTGAGTTCGAGGCCAGCCTGGTCTCCAAAGCGAGTTCCAGGAAAGGCGCAAAGCTACACAGAGAAACCCTGTCTCGAAAAACCAAAAAAAAAACAAAAAAAAAAACAAAAAAAAAAAACTGTTTTGTTAGTGTATTAGCTATATTTTTTAACAGGTAGGTTTTAGTTAGGGCCCAAGACTGACAGAAATAGGAAGAAATATTAGATTCACGTAAAAATTTAAAGTACCCCAAACTTTACATTCAAGACTATTACTATTTTTGAAATCTAAGTTAAATTTCAGGAGAATAAATGAAAGTACATAAACTTATCTTTGAAGATTCTGCTGTGATCTTTAACCTGTATTGCTGATCTAGAAAAATCTGTCTCAATTAATTGTCTACCAAAATCTGCTGCATGGATGCTGTTTATGTAGGTACTCTGATATTTTTCTAGTGATACTTGTTCACTACTCAGGTCTTCAGAAGTACCAGGGCAAGGAATGTACCTCAGTGGTACAGTGCTTGCCCAAAATTAGCATGCTTAAGGCCCAGGCTTCTGTCTTCAGCACTAGAGCAAAATAGAATAAAAGAGGCTAAAGAGATGGCCCATTAAAGAGTGATTGCTGCTGTTATAGGACCTGAGTTCATTTCCCAGCACCCACTTTTAGCTCACGACTAGTCCATAGGCCAACCTAATCTAGACAGCCCCTCAATTAGACACTTTTCCCAGGTGATTTCAGATTCTGCCAAGTTGACAATACTGTCACAACTTCAAATTTATATGAGATATGAAAAAATTATGAATCACTTTAATCTTTAAATAACACTCAATTATTACTCTCCTTTATTCGGTGAGGAAACTGAGGTTTCAGCTGAGGTTAAGTGGCCTCCTTAATCCCAGATCCAATAAATTGATAGGAGTTTGGATTTGAACCTAGATAATCTGTCTCCGAGTCTATACTCTTAACCATTGTGCTATACACAATCACTTTTGTTTTTCTGTTTTCTTTTGTAATGCTGGGGGTTGCACATGCCAGGCCAGTGTTCTACTGTGAACTATATCCACAGCCTTTTTTTACTTTCTCTTTTGAGGTGTTATAATCAGAGTTTTCTGTCCCCACTGCCTGGTCCCAAATAACCGACACAGAGGCTTAATATTACTTATAAATGCTCGGCTGATAGCTCAGGCTTGGTACTGGCTAAGTCTTACACTTAAATTAACCCATATTTCTATTTGTGCTTTGCCACATGGCTCATGGCTTGTTACCTCATTTTCTACACATCCTTTTTGCTCAGCAGCTGGCTGGTGTCCCTCCTGACTCCGCCTTCCTTCCCATCATTCTCAGTTTGGCTTTCCCACCTAACTTCCTGTCTAGCTACTGGCCTGTCAGCTTTTTATTAACCAATAAGAGTAATATGTATTCATAGTGTAGAAAAGGATTGTTCCACAGCAAGGTATGATCTTACTAATTTGCTGGCCTTGAATTTAGTGATTCTCTTAAATAGCTGGGATTATAGACCTGTGCTAACAGGCTTCCATTCTCCTATGTGTTGGGGGGTAGGGAGCTATTATTTGGGGTTTTTGAGACAAGGTCTCATGTGTTCTAGGATGGCCTAGAACTTACTTTCTAGCTGAGGATCACCTGAATCTCTCATTCTCCTGGCTCTGCCTCCAGAAGTGCTGGGGTTACAGGAGTGTACCACTGTGCCTAGTGCTGCAAAAACCAGGATGTCATGCATGTTAGGCAAGCACTCAACCAACTGAGCTACATCCCTAACCATCTGACTTCCATTTTAAAGAGCTAATAATTGTCTTTGGATTTTATTCCCAGTAAATTACTTTTTTTGTTTGGTGGTTTTTTGTTTTTCTTTGTTTGTTTGCTTGTTTGCTTGTTTGTTTTTGAGACAGGGTTTCTCTGTGTAACAGCCCTACCTGTCCTGGAACTTGCTCTGTAGACCAGGCTGGTCTCAAACTCAGATATTCACCTGCCTCTGCCTCCCTAGTGCTGAGATTAAAGGCATGCGCCGCTGCCACTCAGCATAAATTACTTTTTTATTATAGTTTTCAAAAACCATTTTTCTTCTACCAGGGAACTCCTAAGCTGATAAATTCCTTCAGTAAAGTGGCAGGATACAAGATCAACTCAAAAAAATCAGTAGCCCTCCTATACACAAATGATAAAAGGGCTGAGAAAGAAGTCAGAGAAACATCACCCTTTACAATAGCCACAAATAATATAAAATACCTTGGGATAACACTAACTAAACAAGTGAAGGACCTTTTTGATAAGAACTTTACATCTCTAAAGAAAGAAATTGAAGAAGATATCAGAAAATGGAAGGCTCTCCCATGCTCATGGATAGGTAGGATTAACATAGTAAAAATGGCAATCTTACCAAAAGCAATCTACAGATTCAGTGCAATCCCCATCAAAATCCCAACACAATTCTTCACAGACTTGGAAAGAAAAATACTCAACTTCATATGGAAAAACAAAAGACCCAGGATAGCTAAAAGAATCCTGTATAATAAAGCAACCTCCGGAGGCATCATCATCCCTGACCTCAAGCTCTACTATAGAGCTGTAGTAATAAAAACAGCTTGGTATTGGTATAAAAACCATTTTTTCCCCAGTGGTTTAAACTAATTCATGGAACAGAGGTCCTAGAGCATGATAGATAAGCACTGTGCCACTGAGCTTGAGCTCTATCCCCTCTGCCTCTCCCACCTCTCCCTCCCTCTCTGAGACAGTGTCTTGTTAGTTAATCGGTCAGGCCTTAAACACGTGTACAGCCTAGTCTTCCACTCATGAGGCTCTTGCTTTCTGTACATCACCATGCCTGGCTCTAACACTTCATTTTAATTTAGAGATTTTTGTTTGTTTGTTTATTGATAAAGGGTCTCTATTATGTAGCCCTGGCTGTCCTGGAATTTGCTATGTAGACCAGGCTGGTCTTGAACTCACAGAGATCCACCTGCTGCTGTCTCCTAAATTCTGGGATTAAAGACATTGTGCCATCACACTCAGATTATGTGGAAATTTAATAGTGATGAAGTGTTGTGTACCTGTAATCCCAGCACTTGAGAAGCTGAGGCAGGAGAATTGCCATAAGTTTAAGGCCAGTCTGGGCCATATAGATTCAGAGGACAGTTTTCCTTCCACCATGTGGTCCCCAGGAATGGAACTCAGGTCGTCAGGCTTGGCAGCAAGTGCCTTAATCTGCTAAGCCATCTCAGTCACCCTGTAAATGAAGAAGGGCCAGGCATGTTGCTACACAGGTAATCCCAACTGTTCAGGAGACCGAGGTAGGATGATTACAAAATTGGGATTTTTAGCAAGACCTTGACTCAGACTAAAAATGAAAAGTGGATGTAGTTCAGCAGAAAAACAGTTGCTTAGCATGTATAAGGCCCTAGGTTCAATCTTCAAGGGGTGTGTGTGTGTGTGTGTGTGTGTGTGTGTGTGTGTGTGTGTGTGTGTCTAAATAGTAGGGGGGATAGTAGTGTACGTACACCTTTAATTCTTGCGTGTAGACGAGGAAGCCAAAGAATCAGGAGTTCAAGGCTCATCTACGTACTAAGATTGAGACCAGCCTAAGCTACATGAACCCTTATCTCAAAAAAACAAAATATAAATAGCAGGTATATGGAGTTTTTGGTTGGTTGGTTGGTTGGTTGGTTGGTTGGTTTTTTGAGACAGGGTTTCTCTGTGTAAACAGTTCTGAGTGTCATGGAACTCACTATGTAGACCAAGCTGGCCTTGAACTCACAGAAATCCACCTGCCTCTGCCTCCCGAGTGCTGGGATTAAAGGCGTGCACCACCACCGCCCAGCAGGTGGTGTTTTTATAGTACAGCTCCTCATAAATTATAATGCTATCCTAGTGTTTGAGCCTGTGTGTTTTAATGGTCCACGATAAAGAGAACAATAGTAATTTTTTTTTTGTTTGTTTGTTTTTGTTTTTCGAGACAGGGTCTCTCTGTAGCTTTGGAGCCTGTCCTGGATCTCGCTCTGTAGACCAGGCTGGCCTGAACTCACAGAGATCCACCTGCCTCTGCCTCCCAAATGCTGGGATTAAAGGCATGCGCCGCCGCCCGGCTAGTAGTTTTTTACACCACACACTTTTACATTGAAGTAAGTAGGTGAAAGAAGTTAGTCTTGATTTCAATTCATTAGTCATAGCCAAGAAGCTGCCTTTATCATCTCAAATTTCACCTCTTCACCCAACCACTCTTGCTTACCTCCATGGTGACAGCAATGCTTCCAGAAACTTCAGTAATAAAAGTGTAGACATCTGATTGATTATAGAACTGTACCATGAACATCTAAAAAGAAAGGGAGGGTAACTAGACCTGAGCTTAACTTTTTCCAAACTAGCTAATTGCTCTCTGCAGTCCATAGTATACTCAGCTTTTGAGAAATTATTATATGCACCTCATGCCTTTTGTACAAATGCCATGTTTAACAAATACTTTATTACCAAGTAGCTACATGACACATAAACATTTGTTTTTTTTTTTGTTTGTTTGTTTTTTGTTTTGCAGTGTCCTGGGATTAAAGGCTTACACTACCACCACCTGGCATAAGACTATTTGTTTTGTTTTGTTTGAGACAGGGTTTCTCTGTGTAACCATCCTGGCTGTCCTGGAATTTGCTCTGTCCTGGAATTTGC